AGAAGGAAAAAAGTAACTTCGCACAAAAGGTACATTCACTGGAAGAAGCCTTCCAAAACACATACAACGAACTGGAGGAAGAGAAAAACTCTCTAAAGGAAGAGCTCCATGATGTCAAAGTCACAAATGAAGACTTAAAAAAAAAAGCGCAAAATCTTCTCAACGTCAATGAGGTGCTAATCAAAGAAATGAAAACTTACAATGAAGAGAAAGATAAATTCATTAAAGGGTTGAAGAACATCAAACTGGCTTACCTCAAGATAAGAAAAGAAAACGAGGAGCTAAAGAAGGACGCTTTTGCATATATTAAAAAGGACGTGGAGGAAAACTACGTCCCCCTCTCTGCACACAACCAGCTTTTACACGAACAGAAGAGTTTGGTTGAGGAGAAAGACACTCTTCAGGAGAAGCTCAAGGAAAATGAGACCCTCATCGCAAAGCTGCATAAGGATAAAGAAGACTTGGGCGAAAGTTTGACCAGACTTTCCAAGGAGAACGAGGAGCTCAAAACGAACATCCGAGTCAAGAATAAGATTACGGAGGATATCACGGCCAACGTGGAGGTTAGTGCATGGAAGGAGCGAACGATCCGATAACCGGACAAGCGGATAAGCGAACGAACAGACATCCGAACGAACGACCAAATGACTGCTTTGTGCGCTACACGACTCCCCTCACCCCGCAAACCCAACTCTCGCAGAAACTAAAAACTGACCTCACCAGCAAGGACGAAGAAGTGAAGAAAAAAGTGCTCGAAGTTAAGAAAATGGAGCGCGACTATAAGAAGCTCCTGGACGATTACAAAAATGAAAAAAAAAGTTTAATTTCAAAATACGAAAACGAGCTGGACGACTACCTGCGAAAGTGTGAATTGGCCCACGCCAAATATAAGAAGTGCGAGGAAGAGGTGAGAAGCACTCACAAGGAGCACGCACGCCCGATTCATCCTTCCGTGTGCTGAAGTACACTGTTTAAAATGAATGCACAATTGGGTGTTTCCCCTCCCCCCCTGCGTGTCACTCTGCAGCGATGCACATTTCGCAGAAATGTATAACACCTTTCTGGGTTGGCATTTCTGTGAAAACACAGCCCTTCCGATGTTACCTCCCTTTTTTTTTTCTTTACCCCGTTGCAGATCAAGGAACTGAAAAATAAACTGAAGGTGAAGGATGATGTGATAGAATACACACACAAAGAAATTGAAAACATTAAGGAGTCCTTCTGGTACTTTGGAAAAAAAGAAAAATAAATAATAAAAAAAAGAATGAAAAATAATGAAAGAAGGAATGAAAAAAATAATGAAAAACAATAAAAAAAAGAATGAAAAAATAAAGGTCCCTTTGGAAAACAGGCTGCCGATTGGACTAAGTCTAGCCCGGACTGATCTTCCACTGTTTCTATTTCCCCCCCGCAGCAACGAATACGAATGTAAAATTAAGGATGTCGTGGAAGAGAAGGACAAGGAAGTGTACGCCATACAGAGAAGATGCAAGGAGCTGCACGAGGACAACAACGTGGGTTTCTTTTTTTTTGCGTGCGGCATGTTCGGTTCTGCGGACATACATAAATGTGTACCCGTATTCACGCTTGCACGAATGCACCCTCGTGGGAATTTCTTCACCCCCGACGCGCCCCATCGATCCTCCCCCTGTAGATAAACAAAAACGAAATCGCCAAGCTAAACAAACTGCTGGAAGATGCAAATAAGAAAATAAAGAAGAGAGACATGGAAATGTACATACTGCTGGAAGAAAACAAAAAGCAGAAGGAGAAGGCAGCCAAAAAAATGAACAAAGTGAACGAGCTGCTGAACAACCTGCAGAAGGAGTACACGGATAGTATTCCGTGACGCGGAAGCGCAGCACTGGGGGAGCTGTTTCTTTTGGCCCCATAATTTTGCCCCACTATTTGGTCCCATTATTTGTGCCCACTATTTGTGCCTCATTTTTTTTTTTTGGTTAGCCCTTTGCGTGTAGGGGAATACAGGGGCCTGCTTGAATGCCGCAAGTGGTCCCCTCATGTATCCCCGTCGAATGATCAAGGTTGAAAATTCGTTGCCCCTAAAAATTGCACCTTTGCGGCGCTTCATTCTGTCCCCCGTTTGTCGCTGGTTTGCCCCTCATTTGTCACTCAATTTCCATCCCCTTTGTCACTTTTTTTGCATCCCCTTTGTCACTCGTCTTTTGTCTTTCCTTTTCCCCGCTCTGCATTTCCAAAGTCCTCGCGCACACGGGGAGCACTTCCCCCTTGTTTCGTTTGCTCATTTGTTCAATGGGGGCCATGGTAGAGGCATGGTAGGTACATGCTTATGTTCACACACGTGCCGCTACCCAACGGAGTGGTTATTCTTTTTCCGAATTGGGGAGTTTCCACCGGGGCGGAAAAATATCTGCAACGATGGCGGCGAACGCATCCCTTTCACTAGTCCTCATCGGAGGATGTCAAAACGTCATTTGGTGTAAAGAACTTGACATTTTTTAAAGCGTGTTCATCACTTTTGGATGGCGAGGACATTTTTTTAAAGGCAAAGTCAGTCAACATGGATTTGTTATCCCCCAGATGTTTTGCCCTCTTCTGCGACACATCAAAGATAGAGTCATTCATTTTTCTTTTCACTTTTTTCATTTGGACATCATTATGGAGGTTATTGCTGCGAATAAAGTCTTCCAGCACTTGATGCACTTTTTCCTTTTTGTTATTTAAGTGTCTGTAAATGAGGAAGGCAATTCTTTTTTCGGATGGTTGTATGAACGTTATGGCTTGTCCTGCGCAAAAGAAAAGAAAAAAAAAGAAATGTGCAGGTGAAAAGGGGCTGTTTTGTGTGTGTGCCATTTTCGCTAGCTGCGCCAAAGTACGCCCTGAAGCAGTGGATGACGGAACCGATGAAGTGGTGAAGCGGCGAAGCGCATGACTGCTCTGCTGTTTCCATTCCGTTGCTCTCCTCACCCCGGTTGTTCATCCGGGAACACCTGCCTATCCTGTGCAAGTAGACGAAGATGTCGCTGGGGCAGTCGTAGTTGATGACGAAGTTCAAGTCAATGACGTCGATGCCACGCGCCATGAGATCCGTGCTGACCAAAACCTGCGTTTTCTTTTTCTTCAGACAATCCAATTTGTACAGCCTCTCCGTCTGGTCTATGTCTCCATAAATGTAGTCAAACGATACGTGCCTGAGGGATATTTCCCTTTTCAATTTTTCATATAAAGTCATCACATTCTTTTTGCTATTGCAAAAAATAAATCCTTGGCCACTTGGTGCGCAGGCATGCACACAATTGAGCAGATAGTCGTACTTAGCATGGTCCTCTAGGATGTAAAATTTTTTATCGATTAAGGCGTTGTTCTCGCCCACCTTGATGATGATGCATTTTTTATTTAAGTACGTCTTTGCCAGTTCACATGATTCCTCAGAAAAGGTGGAAGAGAAAAATCCCTTCATCGCGTCTGCCCTTATATTTCGAAGTACAGACGTGACGGAGTGGACAAACTGCTTCGAAAAAAGTCGGTCAAATTCGTCCAAAATCACATACTTTATCTTCGTAAGGCAGAGATACTTTTTATTAATAAAATTGATTAACGTTTTTACATTTGCAATTATGATGTCCACTCCTCGATGAATGTCGTCATATGCATTTTTGTAATTTATTCCGTTGAATAGGAGACATGATTTTAATTTGTTCAAACAAAGTTTGTTAATTTGGTCATATATTTGGACACACAATTCTCTCGTCGGGGTTAGTATCAGCGCATGGGATGAGGCGTTGCCTTTACCTTGTTTGGAAGGGAATGATGGTGGTACTACACCGGATGACGATGTCACTGTGTGTTCCTCTTCCGGAGGGTCACTTTCTTTATGGAAATTTTTCCTTCTGTTTTGTCTTTCAACTTGTTTGTAGTTTCCCAAGTGGATAATCAAAGATATGATGAAGGAGAGGGTTTTTCCTGAACCGGTTCTGCTACTGGCGATAAAATCTCGACCACTTAAAAAGGTAGGAATGACAATGCTTTGAATGGGGGACAAGATGCTTATTGACAAATTGTACATATTCTCCAACACCTCCTTATCTATTACATTTTTTAATTGCAGAAAGGAGAAAAGCGGTTTGGGAACGCTGAATCCGATTGTTGTGATATTATTTTTTTTCTTGTACTCGACACTTTCTTCCAAGGTAAAATCGGTGATGCTGTCATCTGTAACAAAGATGTCTTTAGTGAAGTGGTCCAGCTGCACCTCATCGTAGTTGATATCATTTTCGATTATTTCGTTTTCCCTGTTGCTGTCTCTTCCGTTTTGGAAGAAGTCATCCCCGTCATCTTGAGAATCATCGCTCAGCATGTTCTTGCTGTGGGTTCCTTTTCCTCCGTGCGATTCTGCGCGCCGCTTCTCGTTTGCCAACTCTTCATTTTTTTTTTCCAAAAATTCGTAAATATCCGCTGTGGCGTCGTTGTCATCCAGACTATCGTCATCAGCGTGTCCACCATCCTCTTCTGCAGGATCCTCCAAGGTATGCCCATTTTTGCTTTCCCCATGAGCTTTGTTTTCCCTGACAAAGTAGGTTCTTACACGGTTTGGGGTGCTTCCCCTAGAGGGTTCCTTCTCCATACGTGAAGAATTGCTGCCCTTGTTGGGCGACGACTTCGCCGTTGATTCTTCGGCGTCCTTTTCTCGTGATTTCGTCTTTTGCTTCTCCTCTTCCAGCACTTTATTTATTTCCATCATGAATTCGTCCAAAGGGTCGATCTCCTGGTCACCCGATTTTCCCTCCTTTGCTTCCTCGCATTGCTCCGGGGAGCCATCTTCACTAGGACCGCTCATAGGGCTGCTACGAGGGGAAGGGTCACAGTTTGGCGCTTCGGGAGAGTGTTTCTCTTCCTATGCGCCCGCCCGTCAAACGAAGGGAACATTAAAGCGGTAGGATAAAAGGAACCCCTGAATAAAAGCGTAAAAACAGAAAAACGACGCGCGAAGAGACTTAGAAGGGGGGCAGGAAGAAGAAAAAAAAAAACGAAAAAAAATTGGCGATTAAGATGCCAAACGGCGAAGTGGAAACGGCAGGCACGGAAGCGTTTTCAAGAAAAATGCGGGTCAACATGTGCATGCCGTCGGTGACGATTGTGCAGATAAAACATCGCTTAGGCACCTAGCAGCGCGCCAACGGGGAGATGTACAAAAAGAAAAAAGAAAGGCGTCGTGGAGGGGATTAAAAACGCATGCAGCCCGGGCGTCTGTTGACGCGAAGCAATATGGTCAAGATAGATTCACCGTGAAAGCGATAATATGGCGAAGATGCGTTGCGCCGCTTTGCGGATTCACCTGAACAATGTGCTTCTCGTTGACGGCCAAGTCTGACCCTGTAGGCGAGAGATCAGGGAAGGGCAGAGGGTGGAAATCTGTGCGCGCATGATCGAGTAGCGACAAGCAGTGTGCAGCTGAGAGATTGCGCTGTGATGGTTGGCATGCCGACCGTATTGTGCCAGTATGCCGTTGCTATTCTGAGTGTATTATGTGGATGTGCTTTGCGTACTCCATGGGTATGTTTTGCGTATTCTGAGGGTATGCCACGCCTTTTTTGCCTCCTACCCCCCCTCCGCGTGAATTTCTTTTCGGGGAACCCGCGGCTTCTCAAGGGGAGAGACGAATCTGTTGTTGTGTCCATCCCCCCTCCCCCCACGGTATCCCCGGTTCAGGGGGTCCGAAGTGGCAGGACTGATCCGCAGTAGTACGGCATATCGCGACACCGCTTATCGCCACACCGCTTATCTCCACACCGCTTCTCCCCCCGCCAGCATGCAGAACAGCGCGACGGGGATCAGGAAGATCCCGCCGTTTATGAAGGAGCTGGAGGAGGCGTACAACATATGTCACAGTGGAGGAAACGTCATCGAAAAGTGCTTCTTCGCCAAGGAGGTGAAGAGGAGCATAAACAAGCGGGAGGTGCACATGTACCAGCTGTGTATCATTCACTACCAGATCAGCAATAAGGAAAAGATTTACAAAATGTCATGCATCGAAGAGGATCTAGACATGAGCAACACCTTCTATGATGGGGAGTTAAAAATGTACATGTCGAAAGACGGCAGTGTAGGATGCTTATTTTGTAATGACGAGAAAAAAAGGAGAATCGATTTATTTAAAAATGAAACAAAAAACGGGAAATTCTACGTCACCTGTATGAACAACGTACCGATAGGTACAGACACACATAGGCGGTTCTTCATGCATGAATCGTTTTGCTCGTTCAATGCCAGCAAGACGCTGATGATTTACAGTGCCGAAAGTGATGACATGAAGTTGAAGAAGGAGAGTAGCTTTATGCAAAAGAGAGACCTCGAAATTTTAAAAAAAATTAACAATCAGATTTATACCGAAACGTTTGGAGAGCAGTTCGACTATTCCTTCTTCAATCTGTTTGTGTACAATTTGATGGACAATACGGTTAAGTACGTAACTGTGAAGGACGTGTCGGGGTGTTATTATAGTCCGCAGTTTATTGACGACACTTCTTTTGTGTGCCTCTCTTACCGGACCATTCCTTACCGACTAGGGATATATGCCTTTAATGTTAGACCCAACGATCTGTACCTGTGCACGCTGAACGACTCGGATGTAGAGCCCTGTGATGGGAGAGATGGGGGAAGAAAAGGGGGTGCAATTCCCGGTGGTGGAACTCCCGGTGGGGGCGGCCCTTGCCAGGCGAGTGAACGCAATCGGAAGAATCACATTCGGTGCGCCTATGCCAAATTGTCCGGAAAAAATTTCAAACATACAGCTTCGCCACTCGTAATTAGACACGACGATTCCTGCGTCTTTGTGGCCTGTCTGGTCGTTCTTGCTAAAAATGACGAGTCGAAGCAGCACTTAATGGAGTACAGCCTGGTACTGATAAAGCTGGTGAAGGAGGACGCCAACGCGCGGGCGAAGAGAAATCGGGGAAGCGTACCACAGGAGGAGAAGCACGAGGTGGAGGTGGAGAGCGGTTTCTACTCCAGTGAGGAGGACAGTGACGGGACGAATGAGTTGGAGCAGGCGGGCAATGCTACAACTGTAGCCACAACAGGGGGGGGGACGCCCAGCCATCCCGCCAGTACTGCTACCATTTCCCCGAGTCAAGATGACATATGCAACTATAAGAAGGCAGAAACCGATGTGATCATTCGAGAGGGCAGCTATACTCCATTTTTCCGTGGGCTGTACACGAACGAAATAAAGGGGTGCTGCTACCCATACCTCTTCCTAAACACAATCTTCTATTGCAGCAAGATTGCCATCGCTGTGCATATGTTTACGAAGAAGATACATCGAATTCTAATACATAACATTTACAGCCAAAATGATATGAACACAAGTATGGAAATTATGTGTATGAAGGAGAACAACCTGCTGGTGAGTATCCGAAATATGCTTCTTAACGACGTGCTGGTGTATTGCCTATTCAACGAATCGGACATAAGTGGAGACTACGTATATCTGACGAACGTACGCAGTTATAACTTAGACTTTACGGCGTACGAAACGATTAAGAAGAAGCAGACGAGCATCATTTATGCCAATGTAAACGACATGTCGGAGAAGCTGTTCTTGTTGTTGAGCCAAATGGAAACATCTCTATTCAATGAGAAGCATCCATATATTAGGAGAAAAGATGCGACTTTTAACATGCTATACGAGAGTGAATCCGAATTTCAATATGATGTGCAGAAGAGGGGACTACATATGCCAAACTTTAATCTGTTTAATGAGAAACATAAAAGGAACCTAATTTTGTACATCCATGGGGGACCCTACTCGATTTGTCTCAATGAGTACAGAAGTGTCTTCATTTTTTTTGCCGCCTGCGGATTTGACGTCCTTTGCGTTAACTACATTGGGTCGCTAGGATTCTCTGACAAACCGAATGTTCTAAATGGCCACGTAAATTCTATCGAAATTAAGGACATCATAGATACGTTTAAGAACTTCTACAATTATTTTGGCGACTATGAGAATGTCTATCTGTATGGTGGATCCTACGGTGGCTTCGCCTCGTGTGCAATTTTAACAAAGTCCAACCTGTTTAGAAGCTGCTGCGTGATTAATGGGATATACGAGTGGGTTCTTTCCGCTCACTCCAGTGATGTTCCTGATTATTTCTTAAACTTATGTTTGAACAAGCCTGCAGAATATGACTGCTTTTTTAGTAAGTGTGACTATTCCAGTATGTACGAGATGTCTCCGTTGCACTATGTGCAGAATATCTCCACGCCCATCTTGATTGTTGCGTCCAAGGATGACTTGCGTGTCTCCCACCACAACAGCCTCTGCCTCTACAAGCGCCTGCGCGCGCTTAAGAAGAAATGCAAGCTCTTCCTCTTCGACGACTGCACGCACTCGATTAAGAACAGGTCCTGCGAGGAGACCCTCCTCATGAATGTCATCCTCTGGTTTTACGACTACGACGATAGGAAGAAGCGATAGAGCGATAAAGCGGCATGCAGAAGTAGGGAGAGGCAGAATTGACATTTCCCCAGCTCCCCACTGCGAAATCTTCTCAATCTACTTAACACCATACACGCCCGAAACCTAACCCTAAACCCGCTTCTAACCCGGGACAGAGTTCTCACCCTTTGGAAGTCCACAAAATGGGGGAGCGACCCATTTGACAGCTTCCCCTTTGCGAGGAACCTAGCGCGTTTACTAAAAAGTTTTCAAAAAAAAAAAAAACTCCTCTACACTAATGCCGCCAATGCAAAGGTGTACCCATCAACCCGTGTGTACCGCTTCGCGAGAAACGCGTGTGACGCCCCCGCTGCTGCGTCGACGGTCGGACAGGAAGCCCCGTCACCAGCCCTTATTCCACTCATCCTCGTAGTCCTTCTCTGTTTTGAGGATCCCGTTTTCTAGTGAGTAGATTAGTTCTCGGGCCGCCCTAAAGGGAAGAAAAAAGAAATCACGTACATATAGTTATTATATACATATATATATATCGACATATATATACGTATATACGCATATATGCACGTATGTTATTCTGTGCCGCGGAGGGCGAATATACTTGCGCGCCTCCTTCTCGACAATGTTGTGCTGGGGGAGATTGTCCCGATCTGCAGCGGGGGAAAGAAGAAAAAGGAAAACACATATATATATAAGTAAGCATATCTGGGTGTAGATATGTCGGTGTACATAGATCGGTGCACATGCGTGGGTGTATATATGGCTGCTCCCGCGGAGGAGGCTTGACAAACCGCCAAGCTAACCCCGTATCCATGGATGCTGCGCGAGCTCGTCAAGAGATGGGCGCAAGTCGTAATCCTTCTCCAGGCACTGCCGTAGGAAGTCCAAAATGGGACTCCCCAGTTTGCTATACTGATTTTTCAAATGGGCCAAGGGAACTTCCTCGTGTGCAATATTTGAATATGTTTGCAAAGCGTCTTTCGTAAAGAATGGAAACGAACCGGTCAACATAAAGTAGAGAAGGAGACCAATGTACCACGTGTTATTCTTGTCGTGATTTAATTTTTTGATTTCTTGTGGGGATCTAATGAAAAATAATCCATACAGGTCTCCATTATAGTCTATGTTGTCATACTTCTTATTTTTGCTTAAGAGGCTGACTCTCACTTCGTCCCTTTTTTGGTCCTTAAAGTAGATACAGTAGCCATTTAAATTTCCGTGGTGAATATTTTGTTCCTCCAGGAAGGACATGGCGATTATGATTTGGAAGAACCACTCCCCGAGGAGGCGCTCGCTGATGATGCTGTCGTCGTTCAGGAGGCTGTCTGTCATGAATCCGCCGCTGTGGAGGGGAGGCGCAGATGTGAGTTGAAGTAGTAGTGGAAGCGGTAGTAAAACTGGTAGTCAACGCGGTAATCAACGCGGTAGCGGGGCAAAAGTGAGAACCGCCTCTCACATGTTGACTACCCCTACTTACCTGCAGCGCTCCATGACGACGTGCACACTGTGCGCGTCCTCGTACATATTATAAACCTTAAGCAAGTAAGGCGGTATGCTGCTTGTGCCGTCATAAGTGAGCATCCTCAGCTTTGATAGATGGTCGAACGTGGCTCCGTACAAGACGTCTTTACGCATCTTGCGGACGATTCTCCTCTCCCCCTTGCGCAAAAACTTGCAGGAGTATAACTCCAAGTCGTGTCTGACGTCGATCTTTGTATCCACTATGTAGCCATGGTGGAAATACTTGGTATGCTTTTCGTTCGAGGCGTAGAGGATTCCCATTGGGTGAACCGGGGGAAGTGGCACAAGATAGGTAGGAACTGCGTCGGCGCGAGGCAGAAGGTATGTCGAAGCTAGTTGGACGCGAAACGACTCGTTAAAGCGGGGAGGGGACGAACCGTGGTGCAAAAATTTAAAGCACAGAATCGGAAGGATACCAAAGTGACGATGATGTTAAATCAAAACGTGTTAGGAGATCCATCGATCGGTCCATGTACGGACGTTTACTTGCATGCATGCAATGGCGCGCGTCTTGGTGAACCCCTGGGGGAGGCGGAATGCCCAATCGGACCGCGACACAGGGGAAGTGCAGGACAAGGGTAAAACCAAACAGGTTGCGAAAATGATCTTATTGTCCAACTGATGTGGGTTATGAACGGGTAAATTAAAGCAGGAAAAAGGGAAGTAAAGAAAAAAAAAAAAAAAAAAAGACACTCATATTCTTTTGGAACCCCCCCATTGGATAACTTAAACCAGCCGGCGGAAAAGAAAAAAATTCCACTCGACTTGCCAATCGGGGAAAACTAAAAATGTGAATAATGTTTTTTTTTTCTTAAATGTATTTTTTATTTTTTCCTTTTTTGGACCATCTAATTTGCCTTTGCACTAGGCGAACGTAGTGTCCTTCACGATGGTCAAATGGGGGGCGCGCATCGATCGGGGTTATGCGCTGATTGGAGTTGCGTCCTGGTCGGAGTTGCCCACTGGTCGGAGTTGCCCACTGGTCGGAGTTGCCCACTGGTCGTAGTTGCTCACTGGTCGGAATTTCGCACTGGTCGAAGTTATGTTTACATGGCGATACCCACGGGGGCGCCGCCTCCAAACCGCGAATGACTCATGTGTGCGCTGCCCCCTTGGACAAAGTACATCACCCAGGAGCATAGACGCAGAGGAGCGAGTTGAAAATATATGCGTCGGGGGACTCGTCGCGCCTTCCCCGCCATTGCAGCTTCGGCGGAAAGGGGAAAAATCCAGATGCAGAAAAGTCCCACATGTATATATGCATGTAATATATATTACATATGTATGTACATGCAGAGTGTTATGTTCACGTAGCAAGGGTGACTCTTAAACATTACCGAGTACCATGTGCGCGTTTTCTGCTTTTATTTCTCCCTGTGGTGATAATTTCGTGTCCCTCTCCGCATAACCACTCCGCGTGCGCATACGCACCTCTCGATTTGACCTCTCCACAAGGTGGCTCGCGCTTTGCTTCTCGGTCGCTTTATGCGGATATTTCTCGAGGGTAACGTCGACAAGCCAACAGGTCGACACGCCTGTGTATGCGCAGTCGCGCCGCGGTTAAAAGTGGCCAGGAATGAGAAAAAAGACGAGTAATTTTTGGAAAAAAAAAAAAACAAACAAAGGAACTTCTCCCCCAAGAGGCCTGCCACAACGGTGTGTGCTTGATGATTCCCTCTTCTTTTCATTCGCTTTGCAAACCGTGGTGACTGGTATGTCCACCTGTTGCCATAACCAATTTGGCCAAGTGGCTAAGGTGTAGCAGCGAACGGTCTGAGGGGGACGTAGGCTAACTCTGCGCAAAGGAACAAGCATATGTGTGTGGACATGTGCATGCGCGCGCATACGCAGGTAAAAGTTCACTTGAGCGATGAAGAGGGGATATACTTCTTTTCCCCCCTATGAAGGCAAATCATTCCAAAGTTTAAGTCAATCGAAATGTCGTCTTGAAGGTTTTGCCGAAATGGGCAAATCGTTTTGTTGTGGTGTACACAGGAGGACACCTTCACGAAGTGAAAAAATAAAAAAAAAAAAAAAAAAAAATCATGTATTTTTAAACAAAAATTTTTTTCATCATAACTGTGTTGTGAGTGAACTCTTTTGGCATGTTTAGAAGCTTGTAGGACCTGCCAAGTTAGGAGGTTTTGTCCTGTACACCCAAGTACACATATCTTTTGTGTGCATTTGCACCTATTGTGGAATGCTTTTTCGTTTTATCGCTCCTTCATTGGTTTGTTCTCCCTTCTCCGTTGGAGGAGGTTACACGTGATTGAATAGTTCTCTGTGCCTTTGTGGTTTTCTTTTTTTCCAGTTGTTCTTGTTCCGTTCATGTGGCATCACCCGTAACATTAAAAAAAAATAAATAAAACAACCAGGTTGTAGGTAAAAAGAAGAAAGGGACATTTTTTACTTCACGGTGGGCTCCTGAAGCAGCAATTAAGCGGCACAACTGACCGAATGACGAAGCGGTGTGGTTGGACGTATGTGCATATCCTCACCTGAAGGGCATGTGTGGATAAATGCGAATGCCACGAGAAAGAAACATTTTTTCATAGAAATTGAGAAAAGCATACTGCTTCGAATGTGTGTCTCCCTTTTTTTTTTTTCACCGTCAAGTAAGGAGGTGCACAACTTGACGACTGCGCGAAAGAGGGAGAAAACACCACCTGAATAGATTAACACACGTAAAAGAATGATGAAAAAAAATTCAAAGGAGTTAAGAAATTCATCACAGAATTTGAGCTTGCTGAATGAGGAAGCGAACGAAGGAGGGGATGCAGCCGAGGTGGACGAGGACGACCATTTTCGGCTGGAAGCAACTGTTGACAACATGGCAAGGAAAAAGCTGGCCAAGTTAATCAGCTTGGATAGTGGGGCAGGGCTAGCCCAATTCAAAAGGTTCACCCGGTTGAAGACGTTTTGGAAGTCAGGGGGCGCTGCATATGAAGCGGCGTACCAGGTGGAAGGGAACACACAACAGGAAAAGGCGCAACCAACATGGCATGGGAAACCCCCGGAGCATTATCACCCAAATAAGGAGCCCAGTAGCAGCTACCTGAGCAAAAACAACGGAAAAGCAAGTTCAAAAGGAACGGAAAAGGGTAACCGCAGTCCAAAGCTGAGACGGAAATTTTGCGCGCTCCTACAAATGATAGGCAAGAAGAAAGACGCCATAAATTATGATGGCCACAGAAAAGGGGAGGTAACAACTTCGACGGGTTACACTCCTTTCGGTGGGAGCGGAATTTCCTTGACCAATTCAGGCGATGAGATAATATGTCCAAGAAGGATGAACGGCGGGTTGCCCTTTTTCACCACAGAAGGTTGCCAATCAGGGAGGAAGGGATGCCTATACAAGTGTAAAAATTGTGGGGGAAGTTTGAAGGAGGCGCAAGACAGAGCAGGCGCGAAAAAAGCACAAGGGGCAGATTTCGAAAAGTGCCAAAAGTACGAAACGTGCGATAAATGGGAAGAGGTGAAACGGCTCGCCGAAAGCGAAGCAGCCCGTGTCCACCGCTCCCATCGCGCTTTCTGTCGGGAGAGGAACGATGCGCCGTGTCTAGAGAACATAAAACAACTGCTTCATCTTTGCGATGAACAAATGAAGGATCTGGTGCAAATCTCCAACTTTGAGATAGACCTAGACATTAACTCCATTTATTTTCACTTTGTCGAGGAAAATAGCAACAGCTTTATATCCATATATAACATAAATCACAGTAAAAATATTTTCGACGTAAAGCAATTCAAAGGATATGCAAATGAAAAAATAACGACATATAAGCAGACTTCTTTTCTCAATTTGGGAACATACGTGTGTAACATATCTGTTCAGGAGAGTTGCTATTTTTATTATGATATATCTGGGGAATCTACCTCTTCCTTCTACTCCTCTGCTGCATCCCGCGATGGTATCTTCCTCAGGGGGGGAAAGAACAACCGTGAGGATACTCCCCCGGGGAGAAGTCACCACGGGGGAAGTCACGAGGCGAGGCTGAATGCAACTCACCGTAGTAATGTCTCCCATAAGAAGAGCAACTCCTATGGCTGCACAGAGTTAGACGGAGAAGTAGGGGATAACCATGTAATGGAAGAGCTGCACAGATTATACCCCACCAATGGGGGATCCTCAAATAGAGAACGTTTAGAGGACATCCCTGTCGATAATGGAAAGTGGGGGTCAAAATGGACGTGCGAGTCGAAATGCACGTGGGAGGACCCTACTGCGAATATGGAGGGACATCCCCTCGTGAGTAACCACACGGACGTTCATCAAAATGGTAAAGGTCCTCTCTGCAGAGGGGAAAGAGAAAAGGCAGACATCTTAAATGGTGCGAAAAGGGACCTGATTTTGCCTCCAATTGGAGATGGTGAAGAAAAGAAGGAAGAGACCACAAAATCGACGGAGTTACATTTTGATAATAAGTCGAAAAGTAACTCAAAGGGTGAAAACAGACTGGACGTAGAGGACCCCGCAAGTAAGGGATCCGCCAAGGGGGTCAGCGGTGGAGTGGACGTGGATAGCAGCAAAATGGACTCATTCAGCACGATTAATGCATCCTTCGCGGATGAGCATAGCCCCCCCATCCGCTGTGAAGAAACAGAAGCCGGCCCCCCAAGCGATGTCGTAGTCTTCCGTTCCGACCAGTCATGTGATTACCAAAAGTACTACGAATTTAAAGACAACCATTTGAGAGGAGGCAGATATATGTTGGAGCCTGGGAGAGTACACGAGGTAACGGACGAACGTGTGATCAGTGGGGAGAATGAAAACATGGGGCATCGGTCCAGAGGGGAAGCAAGCCAAGAGGAGGCACTCCGAAATAGGTCCACTATGAGCAGTAGCGATATGTGGAACCCGGACAGGGTGGAAACAACGGGAAGTCAACATTGGGAAGGCTCCTTTGAAAAAAACGGAGTAGGAAAAGGTGACCAAGGGAATGCCCCTATATGGCGAAGGAAGGGGATCCCCAGACAGCTTCTCCTGAAGTTGAGGAAAATGTGTGAGGGAAGAGCGACGGCCGGGGAAAATTGCACCAGGATAAATGTACACAGCCAAGGGAATAGCAAACGGGAAGAAAAAGACGAAAAAATAGAAAGTGCCCAATGGGATCACTCACGAGGAGGTCTAAATGCGCACATCCAGAAGGATATAAAAAAAGAAAATCAATTACTGACAAATGAATACATCGATAGCACCTTTGATGAAATATATTACATTCAAAGGATTAATGCAGATAACGATTCACTGTTCGTTTTTGTTAAAATTTATCAGATATATATTTTTTCGAAGAAATGGAATAGAAACGGCAGTGGTGGCAAGGGTAGTGCCAAGTGGACAAATCAAGGGGGGACCCTTTCTGATGAGTCCTCGCCGTGCCGCACGAACGTTTCTGTGTATGTGCTCATAATTTTAAAAAATAGCCTCCTTAAATATATCATAAAAAAAAAAATACTTAACGAAATTAGCAGCCGTGTAGACAAATGGAAAAAACACATCATCATAAAAGCTGAACATATTAAGGACGGTTCCCTGCCGTTGTGTATTCGAATGATTGAAAGAAATGACGATGTGGTTGATTACGTCATTAAAAATGTAGCTTACTTTTTCGATAATTATTTGCGAGATTTCTTCCACCTCCTTGTTGCACATATGAATGACTTTTTTGGCCCAGGTCAAAATAGGACGGTAGAAAATTATTTCCAACGGTCAAGTAAAAAAGTGTATCATTTTGTTCAGAAGAAGAAGGTTCACCTGCGCAACATGTATAATGATATTGTACGAAAAAATCAGGAGAAAAAAAAGAAAAAAAAAACAAGACAAAGGATCGAAGCCAACCAAAAAAAGGACCCAAAAAAGTACACATTTTTCACCTATCCGTTTAAAAGGAAGAACGAAAATAAAACGGGTGACTCTCCTCGTCAGGATGACTACTCATTGCGGAGTTCCATTTTTGAACCAGCCTTTTATTACATCACCTCAAATGAAGTGGCACACAATTACATAATTTATATGAACCATATTTATTTTAGAAGACTACTTTTGTTGTATCTTTTCGTTTTTGTAGTTTACTTGGTAGTGAGCCGTTGTCCAGTGGTTGCCCTGTAAAAGGGGGGTGTATGTGTGTGGGAAAAAGAGCTACTGAATGGTTCCCACGTGGAATAATCACGTAGCCACTTGGCACAAATGTTATAGCATAAACTGTAACATAGTCCCATCGCGCATAGAGACGATGCTATCCACACGTGTTATCGACATGTATAATGTTTGCTCATTTAGGAAATGTCAACAGTTGGGCTTCATTTATGAGCGATGGTACTACCTCTCCGTTTTTTTTTTTTTCTTCTTGTTATTTGTACAATTGATAATCTTTTGGCTAGCTCTTCCTTTTTTTTTTTTAAATCTATGCAGAATAAAAAAAAATTACATTGCTTCACATATTTTTGTGAACATTTATTTTTCTGTCGTTCCATTGTAATGATTTTTTTTTTTTTCCGTGTATAGGTGCTACAGTGTAATGTTTTGATAGTTGTGCATGAGGTGGGTTTTCCTTTACGCCGCTACACCTTTCAACAATTCTGTACAACATGTTCACGATTTTTTAGAACAAAGGAGAGCGTTGCTTTGTTGAGGGAGAAAATATTACCAGTAACGGTTGTTAGTACCACGTGACAGTGATGATCCTATCAGCGTCATTTGCGAAAATGAAATTGCCAGGTTGGGGACTGCTTTCCACTGGAAGGAAGGACAACGGGGGAAAGGCAAGCGCAGCTGCTGTGGAGCCAGCTTTGGTACTACTTTTTGGTCGAAATTCTGACGCGTACAGGAATTTGACTCGCACACGAATTTTACTCCTACACGAATTTGACTCGTTGCACAATTGCAGGCATTTTGTTGGTCCCCAACAGGTATAAAGCGATACCCACGGATTGTAGGAAAACCGCCACAAGGATTGCTACAAAAGGGTTGGGCTCTCTTAGGACGTGCTAATAAATAGAGAGTGCAAATTTTGTGATGTGCTATACAGAGGAGTAATTGAAAAGGTGCCCATTTGGTATCATACATTCTTTACCAATTTTATGGGGGCCTTTTTCCAAATAAGTAGAAAGCGTTTTTAAGGCGCACACGGTGTTGAACCTTTCCAAGAGAAATTAAACCTAGGACACTCTGCGAGGAGGCAACTGCTGCTTTGTTACAACTATGTAGGCGTGCGTACAGATTGCATCTCGCGGACCCTTAAAAATCTCCATACATGTTACTCTCACGAAGGATATGTCCTCTTGATTTCCCAAATGAAGGTATCATATATATAAAGCGTAAAAGGAACGAGCGAAGTAACCCCTGTGCATTCGTATACATCTGCAATTGCCCACGTATGAGTAAATTTTTTTGTACACCGAATTGGTCGACCGCAGGACACAATCACTCGTTGCACAAACGGATTGTAGAAAAAGATTTTCATCAGAAGAAAATAGTTTTCCAGAAAAGGGTTTCCCTCCCTTTTGCTTAGATTTAATTTACCCTTGTGCGCTACGAACTTTACAAGATCGCATACGCATGAACGATTTGTGGCTACATCGAGAGTAGAAAACGAGATGGTATAGAAGGAAGAAAGAATAAGCACGTACATTATTACCAATGACATAGTTGAACGGGCTCTCTTCAACTTACTTGGCAGTTCGTTGCCCCCCCTTCATCCCTTTACTTTTACAGAAAAAACCGTTATTTACATAGCACAAAAAAAAAAGGTTATTTCGCTGTATGCCATTTTTCCGGCCAGTGGAACCCTCTCTCCACATTTTCGTGTTAAAAATGAAGAGCAAATATACAACTACTGCCAAGCATAATACGGGGTACATATATAGGGAAAACATACCTGAACAGTTTTTATTTTTTTTTCTTAGTTTTTACCTATTAATTGTACTGTACGTGCTAAGGAACACACCCTATAAGAATATAATCCTTCTGTACATTGTGCCTTGTGTGTTGCTCTTTAAAGTTTCCTTTATATGTCTGCCCAGGTTTATACACTTTTTGCATGAGAAGGGTAGGCATACGTAGAGCGCTGTTCAGTTGCTCGCATAGGGTTGTGTGTGTTTGGGCGAGGACGAGAGGAGAGATATATCCCCGTTTCATTCATATGCGAGATAACTCCGCAGAGTTTCAGTCCAAAATTGCAATTTTATGTACCCATACCGTTACTGTTGCGCGTATGTCGCCCTTATGTATACACATTGGGAATAACGGAAACGGGAGATAAATAAAAAAAATGGCCCCCTCCCACCCATTTCCCCCCCTCATTTCTGCAGGATTATATGGTGTAGATTTGAACAAAATAAGCAAAGACAAAGTGGCAGAACCGATTGGCCTATTTCCGTCCATTCTGTACTTCATTTTTACACTCTTTTATCAGTTGTTATATTACGATGACCATAAAATTGTTAGCAGATAAGGGGAAAAGCAGTGAGCTGAGATTGCGCCATTGCACTCCAGCCTGGGTGACTGAGCGAGACTCCATCTCAAAAAAAAAAAAAAAAGTCAAATCACTATGGTGTTTGCAGCACGATGATGCGTGAAGATATGGAAACCAGGCTTCGAATGTTTCTTATGTGTAAATGCCTCTCATTTTTTTTTTCCCCCTGCCCCCCCTTGATGCATTCGCAGCTGCTGGAGTACAACGCCGGGTTGTTGTCCATAATTTTTATGACCTTTTTGGTAGGCGTACACATTTGTTCAAGTGTACACAATAAAACGCGAAATAGCAGAGCATTTTCCTGTCCATTATTACCCTCACACTTAACATTGCACTTTTGTTTTCCCCCCCATCCTCCTTTTGACAATTTTGATGAAGGGCTTCATAGACGACATTCTCGAATTGAAGTGGAGATACAAAGTGATTCTCCCATTTTTCGGTTCTATTCTATTATAAACAAAAAAGGGATTACAACCCCGCGGGTTCCCAATGTTGTATATATGTACAGTTTTTTTTTTTCTTCTTTCTCACTTTTTCATAATTTTTTTTTTTTTTTTTTTTACTTTTTAGCTAGCTTACCCCTGCTGTTGTCTTACTCCGGAAAGACGAATATCCGCATTCCAAGTTTTTTAAATTTCATATTTAAGGAAAGGATTATAGACATTGGCTTTTTCTACTATTTGTACATAATCCTATTGTGTGTTTTTTGTACCAATGCGATAAATTTATACGCAGGTAGGGGTGTTTTCATTTTTTGCGAGATTTGTTTATTTGGACAATGTGGGCTCTATTTGCTATGCCTTTTTCGATATTCATTTTTTTTTCTTTCTTTTTCTTTTTCTTTCCCAAAGGAATCAACGGATTGGAGATAGGCCAGAGCTTAATTATTGCCTTTTTCATTTCGATCCACAATTTGATAGTAATAATATTGCAAAATGCGGCGTGAGGCCGTTTGGCGTACGTGTGCGATTGTTTAACCCCCCGTGTGTTGAACTGCGCAGTTGTGAAGGCGCGTCTCATGTGTTGTCTAACGGCTCAGATGAGTGGATATGGATAAGCAGATTAGTACGAAGATAGTCATTCTCGTAATCATTCACGCAACCATTCACGAAATCATTCACATGTGTGTGTGCTCCCCGCACAGGAAATCACCTTAACCTTAGGAACCGGGGGAAGCAAAGGGATCATCGAGGGGGCACAAATTCTTAAACAGCATTTCCTGTCAATCATATTTATACTGCCATTTGTATCCATAAACCTGGTTACGTTTTCTTTTAATTTTTATCCATCCAAAGGATTTGTCGGCAACACGTTAACCTATTTTTGTGGCATTTTTTTAGCAGTTGTTTCGATATTTGGTCATTTCTCCAAAACATTGATATTATTTTTAATTCCGCAATTTTTGAATTTTTTCCTTTCGCTGCCACAATTGCTTAATTTTGTCCCATGCCCAAGACACAGATTGCCAGCTGTGAATCCCAGGACGAATAAATTAATCTATTCTCACAATTATACTCTCATAAATTTGATTTTGTATTTATTTGGGCCCCTCTCCGAGTTTCACTTAGGGGTACTGTTACTGGCCTTTCAGTTTGGGACGTGTTCCCTTGGTTTGTTTTTACGCTACTTTATCGACACGACGTAGTATGTGTGTGCGCGCAGGCACGGGCCTACTCAGTAGGTGTGCCTGTGTGGGAAGGCTTGTACGTGTCGTTCTGTACAGTTATGCGAAGCCTGTGTGTGGTTTTCTTTTTTTTTTTTTTTTTCCATTGCGCATAGGGCGAAATTGCCATCGTGTTGAAAACTGTACTTTGAACTGAGTGGAAGCTTCCTCTACCATTATGTTAAAATGGTTTGATGTTTGCGGGAATAGGGGGGAGTGGGGTGCCGACCCACATGAAATGCGTTGGATAGAGAATTTTCTTGGATGGGTATCCCGCCCTTTGCACAGATTTGAAGGGTTTGTTGGTCAATTTGTTGCCACGTAGCCTGGCCTCAGGTAGCACAAATTTTTCCATATGATTCAGCAGAACAATATTGAAATGTAGGATATGCCACTTGGATGTCCTGAACCGTGAGCACTTCCCACTTGGATGGGGAAGGTTCATTAAAAGGGTGTGGTCGCAATTTTCGTGTTAAGTGGGTTCGCTTGGAAGTAGCGCAATGCCGGAGGGCGCCTTCAACCGTTCGTTCGTTAATCCGACGATGGCTAACTCGCCCCTCTCACGTGCACAAAAGTACGTATACAAATGTGGAAAGCACATCTGGGCCTGAAGGAAAATTTGCACTGGGGAAAGGACGACGCTGGGGGTAGGTTGGAAAAATTGTCCCCTTTTGTGACTCACTCTTTGATGTGTCCCATTGCGTGAATTCTCACAGCAGGCCCAAGTGGCATTCATCTTTACACAAGAATCAGAATGCGTAGCTGTGTATACGCAAAAATGCATACGTCCGTAAACAGGCATAATAAATAAGAAGCTTTTCTTGTAGTGACAATTTGCACAATTTGAAATTAAATAAAATGGCACACCTGGCTGGCACGTTTGCACGAGATTAAATCTGAAGTGACCATAAACGAATACATTTTGGACCCCTAACGCGTCAAAAAGAAAAAGTTTTTTTGTTCATTTTGCGGCTCTTATTGTTGTTAAGTAGTTACCCGGCTATGTTGGCGGTATGCCAGTAGGCCATATACAACTCTGTATATGTAAGTGAATATACAAGTACGCCTTAATGTAAACGCGTATTTACGCATGCGAAAGTGGCGGTGTTTCTCCCCACAAGGCTCTTCCCCTCAAAGACGAATCAGCTACGCGCAATTCATGTCAGAAAGGGTTACAGGCCCATTTACACACCGGGTGGTGATGAATAGTAGGGTATGTTAGCCGTGCGGTGAAGTCCCCCCCTTTCCCGGGCAATTTTTAAAGCGGGTGCGGACGGCGGCAGTTGCTAAGATAGTTTCCTCTAGGGAGTTAAAAATAGAAAGAGGGGAAAAAGGAAGAAAAAGAGCGAAAAGAAAGCAAAAAACAAACGAAAAAAAAAACGAAAAAAAAAACGAAAAAAGAACGAGAAAAGAAACAAAAAGGAACACATGCAATTTTAACCTATACACATTTATGGAAGTTTTTGCAAAGGCGAACTTATTCTCTTTTCTTTTTTTTTTTTTTTCTTTCTCTTGTTGCTAAGCGCTCAGCATGATCGGCGATAACTTGACTGAGGACGAAAGCGACAACAGCCTTTTTGATGGAAGAATAAAATTCTTCAAGAGTGACGGAAGCAACTCGTTCCACAGCGTAGAACCGGTTGTCGCGAGTGATGACGAGGATGCGGAAGAGAAGCATGATGAAGATGAACCGGGATGGCCTGACGATCTGGAAGAAGCCGGGGGACACGGCACATGCACACCCCTGGGGGAAAAATTAAAAGAGGAGCAGCACCACTCCTCCCTAACGCGAACCACTACTGTAGATAATTATACGCCCAGCAGCAACCACCTTATGGAATATAAAAATATAATTCTTACGTTAAAAAAATTTAATGAGAGCGTCGACTCCGCATTTGATTGTAACATTGTCAACCTGTTTGTGGAGGAAGAGGGGAGGCAAAAAATCGTGGAAAAAAAAAGAAATCGGCTAAGGGAGGAAGTAGAAGCAGAGCCGCAGAAGGAACAGGTAAAAGGAGAGCCGAAAAACGACCAAGTAAAAGGAGAGCGACAAGAAGAACAGAAAAAAATAGCTAAACTGGGAAAAGAAAGAAAAAAAATATTAAATGCCCTACTACCACTTGAAAGTTGTAACGTTTCTGTAAAAGGGTGCAACAGTAGGGAGCAACGAATCGGGCAGCTGCCAAGAAACGACAGATCAGTTGGGGGTGTAGAGGAATTCGCCGGAGGGGTCGTACTACATAGGGCGCGGTGCGTAAGTCGACAGCGCCATCATGATTCGAATCGTAGCCTGGAAGAGGAAGAAGCGGAAGAAGCCCAAGAAGAAGCAGCGGCGGAAGTAGAAGCAGGGGCTGGAGTGGAAGTCAAGCCAGCGCGCAACTCGCTGCGTCGAAAGGGAGAGCACCTCGAGGGGAACGAGAGGGTACACATCCGTGTGCGCCATCTCGTAACCGGCAGCCATTTTATCCGAAAAGCTGCCACGTGTAAAGGGAGCAGTCCGTTGTGCACACAAGGCTTCAACTCCAGTACGTGCAGCATGACGAGCAACGCGGGTGGTAGTAGCACCGCGAAGTGGGGGATCGAACCGGTGGAGGAGGCGAGCGTTGAATTTGCCATAGAAGCGGTTGACCCATTTAGCAAACGTACAGGCGCAGATGATCGAGGGGAGGATAAAACGCCCTGCAGTGAAGACGCAGACCCACTCGAAGGGATGGATGGAAAAATCTCATCGGGGAAAAGAAAACTGGGTGACGACGAAGATGAGGAGTTAAACAGGCCCCTCTGCGGAAATGACGACGATGGGAAGGAAAAGAGTAGCCCAAATGCAAGGCCAAGTGGTAGTCCATATGGAACTCCCAAAGATCATGCCGAACGGAGGAGCATAAAGAGCAGTGCTCCATTTTTCCGGTCACCATCTTACCACGATATTTCGGATAACTACTCTGCGGTGTACTCAAGTAGAAAAAGCGCAGAGGGATGCTACACGTGGAGAGGAAAATCAGTCAAGTTAGAAGACAGCGCTGAACAGAGCGAAGCAGGGAGCACGCCATTTTGTGTACCTTCCAGTTTTGCAGATAAAAGGTTGGATGGGAAAGAGTTTCCCTTTTTGTGTTATTATGGATGCGGAGGGGATGCTTTGCAGCCCCGGTTGAGACAGAGAAAGTGGAGTGTCCAAAGTGGGAAAACCATGGAGAAGCGGATAACCATCCGGAGGAGGAGAAAAAGTGTGCCAAGTGAATACACATGCAGGAGGAGGGTTTCTTCCGGCACAGACATATCAAACATAGCCAACAAGAAAAACGAAGAAGTGGTGGAAGGACTGAATCCATATGATGTCGAAGGAACGAACCAGAGTGAAAATCCGTTTTACATTTGGAGTAACAAGCACTATCGTGGTGGCTGTTTTACTAACGAGGAGGTATTCCCAAAGTTTAAGCCGCTTAGTAATGGCATGGAAGAGACGCATAATGATGAGCTTCATTTTATCAACACATCAGTGAGGAAGTCAAACTGCGATTTTCACCGTGGAGCGTTAAGTAGAAATGTATACCTCTCCAAAAGTAGTGCAAAGAAGGAGGAATCCTATGTGGGTAAATCACAGGGGGGGGGGTTAAACCCCTGGGAGGACCCAAGGGAAGGCCAAGTTAAACGTGAATGTGGACACGATGGAGAAGTTTACACCAAAGAGGGAATAGGAAGAATTCCCTTTTTGTCACCCTCCGCAGGAATGTACAGCCGAGACACTGTGGAAAAGGATGATTTCATCGTTAGAGGCGGCTGCCCTCCGCTATTCCCCCCGTTTAAAGGCTTAAAGGTTAACTATGGCAGTTCGGGGGACTTGTCCTGGAGGGCCAGCGACGGGGGCGGACAGCATCGCCAAGGGGAGAAGCATCACCCACTGGAGAAGAATCCCCAACCGGTGGAGGCCGGCCAAGCGGAGCCCAGCAAGAGGTGGAGCGGCTTCCAGGCAGAGAAAGATATCTTCTTCGAAGCGATAAAAAACATCATACGGATCATGAAGGAAATCAAAAAGATAAAACTGAATTTGAAAATGGAAAGGAACTACTCTCTAGTTATTCAAGATAAAGAAAGAAAAAACGAATTGGTGAAGCTCATCGATTATTTATCATACCAAAAGGAGGTGAGGAAAAAATTGAAGAAGCATTACTTTGACAAGATAAATAAGGGATTGTTTACATTCCTTCTAAGGAGTAACCGTGCCAACTTCTTCTTTACAGAGGAGGAGGTCAAATTGCTCAAGCGATGGAACGAAATAAAGTACACAAAGATGAGTAGTAATTCGGGAGGGAACACCGAGGGGGAGGAGGGGGATGGCGGTAGGACGTGCTGCCCTGGGAAGAGTGATCGTTACGTGGAGGGGGGACTATCGGACAGGAGAAAAATCCTCCACCAGTTGAGGCATTTAAATAATGCCATTGGGCGGAAGGAGTACGCGGAGGAGGAAGCCAACGGAAGGGATAACGCCTTGTGGACGAATTGGGGTTACCCCCCCGGGGAAGCGCCCTGTCGTAGGCGCAGACAAAGGAAGAGCAATAATATGAAGGACTCCATCCGAAGGGGCTACCTGGCGAGTACCCCGTCGCGCATCATATCCTACGAATCATACTTCACACATTGCGAAAAGAACCAGAGAAACATATTTAACATTTTTTTATGTTTGAAAAATGTAAAAAAGAAATGCGTTTCGAAGAGGTTTAAAAGGAAGATAAAGAATGGGCAAATATATTTGTCGAAGATTTACCATCGTGGGAAGATGCTAAGCCATGTGAAGTACATTTTGGAGGAGGTGTTAAAAAGGAGACTCCCCGAGATTGTGTCCCTACACATTAATGATTGCTTCGTCGATGGTACAATTTCCTTTTTCATTTCGCTACTGATGCTTCTTTTTAAAAATGTGAATACGATTAAGGTGATTCGGTGTCACATTTATTATGCATATCTTAGCGTTTTTTTGTCATATCAGAAAAGGAACAAACTGAGAAGCATGCACTTTGTGTGCAACAGTATCTTTTGGACGAGACCTCCAGATTTTCGAAACTTACGCGGGAAGGTGCACTCCGCCAGGGAGCAGGACAGCTTCCTCCTCTACTTTAACACGAACTATGTGAGGAAGCGGAAGATGAAGATGGAAGGAAAGGGGGATCGAAGATCCAACCTGCGCGTGGACGCCACGAGGCAGCGCTGTCGACGCGAAGATTCGTTAGAAACTAGTTTGAAAAGTTGCCTCCGGGGAAGGGCCTCCCCCTCAAATGGTGCTGCCACCGGGGATTATAGAATAATAGTGAAAAGGAAGAAAAAAGTTGCCCTTTTTGGCGTGGACGAGTTTTATGACTGCTTCGTCTTGGGGAAGGAAGCAAACGTGAGGGGAGAAGCAGACGTGAGGGGCGAACCAACTGGGTTTGAGGAGCCAAATGAATTGAAAGAACCAAATCCGTCGAAGGAACCAAATGGGGTGGATAATCAAAGGATGACGCTAAACATCTCAGAGAACGCGCTAGACGACTCTGCGAACGCGATAAAGAGCCCAGCTCACGCGTACAACATCCACAGCGGCTCCGGGAGCGACGAAAACACGTCGGAAGATTCTCTAAAAGAGGAACTGCACGAGTGTCTGTGTACATTTCCGAGAAAAACAATACAGCAAGCGAATTTTTCCATGTTAAAAAAATTAAAGTTATGCTCAAATAAATTAAATGATGATGCGCTAATGTACATATGCACACTTATAAAAAAGGACAAGTTGAAAAATCTCAAAATTCTGGACTTACGGTGGAATAATTTTACCTACAGAAGCTTGTTAGCTCTGTCATTGGCATTAACAAACACGACTGTCAGTGAAGCATCAGAGAGGATACTCCGGAAAAAGAGAAAACTACACAAACTTCTCCTCTCCGGAAATAACATCAAAAGTCCCCTCTATTCTTCATTCCTCTCAAGTTTCTGTACATGCAATTTTATTGTCGTAAAAAAATTGGACTTCTCCATGAACGTAATAGACAATGATTCTTTCGCAATCACGTTGAAATATTTTAAGCACATTTTTCAGCTACAGAGAAAGAGGCCAGAAAAGAGACACAACATTGGGGACGTCTTCATAAATCTTGATCACAATAATTTGAAAGATTCTCCTTATATTAACAAATTGGCACAGCTTTTGAAGAAGTTTCCCTCAGGGGGAGAGAAGTCAAATGGGGAGACCCCCACACAGGGACGCAGCTCAATTGGTGAAGAATCTCGACAAGGAGTCCTCCTCAGTTTGCAATATAATAATATAAGAAGAGGCACCTTGGGTGAAGATCTCGGGCGAGGGTCTACGTCACGGATTAAGTTCTGACCAGAGGGAATAGATTATTCTTCATCGTTAGATCACTCCATGGAAGGGACATATAATCGTGTGTGAAAATATGCTTATAGAGTTATGCATACGTTGGTGCCCATCAGCGGGGGGGTATACCACGATGAAGTGAAAATCATACATTGTAGGGAAGATCACACTGAAGTGAAGTTACTTTTCCCTGGGGAGGGTTTTCCTCTTTAGTTCTTCTGGCCCCGTGTAGCGGAGCGCCTCCTCGGTTTCATTGGAAGGGGCTGCATTCCTCCTGTGGATGGGCGACCTCTACGTGCCCGGGTACTGCCGGGATTTTTTCTTTGTCTTTTTTTTCTGTTTTCTTGTTTTTTTGTCATTTTGTTTTTTTGTTTCTTCGTTTCTTTGCTTTTTTGTGTGTATTAATTTGATCGTGCAGCTTGGGCACGCGGCTCCGATTTGCGATTGTCTCTTCCGGAACTACGCCTCTTCCAGCACTACGCCTCTGCTTCCCGTTACTTGCCTCTGCATGCCGCGCATCACGTATTTGTGCTGACGCTCAAGTTGCCGACGTGGTTTAGGTAGACCAGCGAATTCTGAAACTCGTTTGTGTCCAACAGACTATCGTAGATGTTTCTCCAGTTTTGTTTGTAGTTCTCTGGGTCCTTGTCCTCCTTTTTTTTCTTTCTTTTTTTTTTCCCGCGGAGTTTTTCCTTGTGGATGGTGGGGAAGAATCTTATTTTGGGCGCACTGAGTCCGAGCTGGGAGGGGGGTAGCGGTGGTGAGGTGAATGGGTGAGGTGAAGTGATGAGATGGAGTGGTGAAATAGGGTTATCGTTGCAGTGTATAGCCCATGTGGTGTGCGCTCTCTAGAGGCCCCTCAAGAAGCTGCACTCATTTAGCGAAACGGTGAACCACCTCACCGCTTCACCGGTTACTTACCCGCTTGAAGAGCATGGCGTTTTGGACGTAGTTAAAGTTTGGGTTGAGGCCCACCTGCAACTTCCGCTTCTTGTAGTTGTCCTTTATGGCCTGCAGCGTTTTCTGCTTGTAGTCGTCTTCCTGCCACTTCTGCTTAATGATCTCGGAGATCCTCTTCCGCCTCTCCAACGTGAAGGGCTTCCTGCCACTGAGCATTTTGTCGCGAAACTCTTTTGTTTTCCACTTTTGTCTAAGTAAAATTGATTTCCTCCTTTTGGTATTCTCGTCCTGATTAAATATCCTCGTCTTTTCGATGATGCTTTTGCGATAATTTTCGTCTGTCCATTTTAATTTAATTTTGTATGATAACAATTGTTTCGTTTTTTCGGAATGCTTAAATTGATTTTTGCATCTCAAGAGTTTTTTTCGTTCTTCTTGATCCCTCCATCTGAGCTTGGCTAGCTCGGATAGTTTCTTCCGAACCTCCTCATTTTGGACTTTTTTTTTTTTCCTCTTTTGGTGTAGCTGCACGAGAGGAGGGGGGCCCAGTTGGTCTTCTTCCTGCTTCGGCGAGGTGGTGACATCGTTTGCACCATTGGCATGGTTAGCACCTTTGGCATGGCTAGCATCCTTGCTGGTGGGAGCAGCGGCTTGGGGCGCGTTTAAGGGGGTTTCTACACTGTCCCTATGCTCGTACTTCACTATTCGGGTCTCTCCCTTTGGATTGAGCGGTTCATCCTGCCATGGATTCACTGCTGATGTTTTAATGTCGACGCTCTGTCCATCCTGCATGGCACCATCGGTGGACTCGTCAAGCTTCTTCTTCCCCGTCAGGCTGACACCTGCGTTGGTGTCCCCCCCAGTGGCGACATCACCCCTTTTTTGTGAATGGAGCGGGGCGCATTTCGCTCTCTTTCCCTCGCAGTAGTATGCCTCTATATATTTCTTCCGTGCAGCATGTGGCATCGTGTAGGTGGGCAAAGTAACAGAGCAGTCCTTCTTGTTTCCGTACCTTATGCGAAATGTTTTCCTGCTGCGACTTAAGACTCCGTTAAAATGAGTGAGTAAGAAAAATGGGTTTGTAGCCTGCCTTTTAGGGCGAACCCCATGCACAAGCTTGGACGGAAAGTTATAAAGCGTCAGGGCGTAACATACACAGGCGAAGAGGGTCGCGATCGCCCGATGGAACATATTAGCGCTATGCTGGCGTAGGCTTGTTGCTCTTCTTTCTCTTTTCCACCATGTCGTTGCTTAGTTGGCGGTTAAGCAGTGGTTATCGGTAGTTATCGGTAGTCAGCGAGCGATTAAGCGGTCGTAAATGCCGAATCATTACTGCCAAATAACAAACTGATGCTTTCTCACTCGCCCGCTCGCTTGCCCAACTTTGCTTCTCCTTTATTGCTGCGTTACCCAGTCGGCCGTCACAGTGGAGTGGGTTGTTCCTCTTCCATTTCTTCAGCCCCCCTGGAGAGATAAGCAGAGATGGTGAATAGTGTTTTAATGGAGATTGGCTGAAAGGATTTATGTGTACATGGGAATGCGAATGTACAACCACGCATGCTCATATGCATAAGAGAGTTCGTTGCTATTGATAGGGAGGCAGTTCAGCCGCCACTAACGCGACGACATCTGTGCGCAAGGCCAAGGTGCAGAAAGGCGCGACACTGTTTTGCCCCTGCGCCAATTGTGCTATAAAGAGTTTAAAAAAAAAAAAAAAAAACTTCTATAGAAAGGGTAATTTCTGCATTCACTTATTTTTTGGCCCTTTTAAGAGCCACAATGACGTCAGGTAAAATTGCCATAAAAGGCATTGCAGTCTCCATTTCATCACCTCCTCGGGAGGTTGCAGTGGGACCCCTTCGTCGAGTCAAAAAATGTAACGGTAGACGAGGTTACATCGGTCTGCTCATTACGGATTACACAAAGTGGATGCCACGGAAGTTTCCAAATGGTCCGTGTTTTTGCAATGGATGATTCAGCGTTTGTGCGATGGCACTTCTACGTGGCTGATCCCTATGCTAAGTTTGTGCCTACCTGTGTAGAAGCGCAGTGCTGTGGTGTGAACAATGCGAACAGGGCAAACAATACGAACTATGCGAACAGTGGGAACGGTACGAACGGTACGAAGGATGCCAAGCTTCCGCTTGTGCGCATCCCGCGTGAGCAAGTCAAGGCAACGCTGCAACGCGTGTAAAGAACTCAACCCATTTAAGCGCTTTACCTCCCTAGCACGTTGGAGGCAACCCTTTCTTTGAATCGCCCATTTTTGTCTTAAAAAAATGGAAGTCTCACATGCGTCGAGCGAGGAAAGTACACATATAGACATACTTAGGTACCCCCAGGACACGGTAAGAATATGACTTATTTTGTCCATTCATCTCAAAAAATAAGATAAAAAAAAAGAAAAAAAAAGGTGTAAACCCGTTGCAATGCAGTTTCTAAGACAGTCGTGTTCACAACGGGTGTAACGGGTTAACCAAAAAGAGAAAAAAAAAAAAAGAATTTATTTTGTGATGATTTAGGCGTACATTAATGATGTAATTGACGTGGTGTTCTAGCAATTAACGGGTGGTTATAATGATGGGAATATGAGTTATATATGTGTGCGTCGAGGGAGAGGTCACGTTGCGTAAGTTCACTCAAGTATGGGTCGACGCATGGGACCACGCGCGCACACGCGAGGGTCCACAGACTGTGCGTCTGCGGAGCGCAACTGAACGAAGTGCCACGCCCGCTTCTCAAGTGTAACATTGAAAAAGACATTAATGCAAGGTAACACTGGGCAGGAATTAAAAAACGAAAAATATTTAGACTTCCGCATGCACCAATATAACCTGCTACATGTTTGTATAAATGGGGGTATCGGCACGTCTGCTATTGTAACAATGGGTCCACGCGCGTATCGGAACACACACAAATACACACGCGTATGCGAGTGCGTAGGGAGGGGGAGCTGGCCAAACGTCATGGCTGCAAGGACAGTTGTCCGAACAACCGCGTTACATTGTTTCACCCCTAGTTTTTCTTTGGTTTCTTGGCTTGAGTGGGTGGTACTGGCACTTTGTTCATCAAGGCCTTGTGAATGTGTGGAATGACACCACCTCCAGCAATGGTTGCCTTTATAAGTGTATCCAACTCTTCGTCACCTATGGGGAAAAAGTTGGGGATATGGCATCAGTGTCCAGGGTTTCGACGTTGCATGGACGATCATCTCATCATGAACGCAGAGTTTTACAAGTACGTAGTGAAGGCACAAATAAAATGGCTACATACAAGTTGGCTAGTTGCAAAACGCACATGAACATGGCGAAAAAAAAAAAAAAAAAAATTACCTCGAATGGCTAGCTGCAAATGTCTGGGGGTAATTCTCTTCACTTTCAGATCCTTGGTTGCATTTCCTGCTAATTCTAAAACTTCGGCAGTGAGGTACTCCAAAATTGCCGCTGCGTAAACAGCTGCAGTTGATCCAACTCTTCCGTCCGAAGAAATTCTCGTTTTTAGCATTCTGTGGACTCTTCCTACTGGGAATTGTAAACCTGCTCGGGATGCTCGGGACAGTGGTGCCTTCTTGGTTTTACCAGAACCTGGGATCGGGGAGGCGGCGAAGAGTGGCGTGCGTCATGGGTAGATACAGAGTACAACATGCGATGTGGAAGCAGCAGAGGTGATACGAATGAAGGGCGGTGATGGTGGACATGATTCTCCTCGCTTCACATGCGCAGCGCGTTAAAAATGTTGCACATTCGGTTAGGCAAAAAAAAAAAAAAAATTGGGTAAGGCGTATAAAAGAAACGTAAGTAACGTAAGCAACATAAGCTTCGTAAGTAGCGTCAATCATGCGAACGGAATGTCTGGTGCGCGGAAAGGCATACAGTGAGCGGGCCACCTTCAGTGCTAACTCGTTGCTAACCTGTTTTTCCCTTTCCTCCTTTGCCAAGACCAAGGACTTTACCTCCGACTTTTCCTCCTACTTTGCCACCAATCACTTTTCCTGGAACTTCCATATTGATAAATGGATAAAAAATGGAACTTACGTTACGGGGGCCGGTGAATTGTCGACAAATAAATTTGTTCGCGTGGATTTGCTTAAATTCGCGAGTTGCTGAATT